ATACTATTGGTATGGATGTAGACTCCATTATTGATGCATTCACTAAATTAAAACACCATAGTGAACAATTGACATTGTAAAAAAATATAAAATCATTATCCTTTTTACGATATCTAATTTCTAATGAAATGCGGCCCAGTGCGCTATTGTGTTCTGGATCCGCCGATGGTGACACAATTAAGCTCTACACTCTATATAAGAAAAAGGGTTGTTTTTTTGCAGGCCCACGGGGACACTGGAAGTGAGGCTCTCTTGTTGGACGGATTTCAGGACATAACGAAGACATGTAACTTCAATGCGAATTAGTGCCGGAGATGTCATCCCACGAAAATAAAAGCGTCGTATGCTCATACTTCACTTTACATTGGCCGATAGTGCAGAACGATGAATCATACCGCAAATCTGAAAGGATCTCTTAACTCCTAGCTTTTTTGTCGATACAGCCTTACGGAGAGGGAGAGAGAGAGTTGGTCTTAATTCTTATATCTAAGGTGACACGCAAGGACCATATCGCCCAAAGAAAAGAAGCAAAACAATGTGGGAAAGAGATTTCTCGAGTATATGGGTAAAGCCGGAAGAGTAATAAAGCTTTGTACTACGTATCCTTTTCGATGAAAGGGTTCTGTCATTGCTCCCTCATTTGGACAAGGGCTTTGGCCACTCGCCAATTTTGACTGAATCGCTTGGTTTCTATGTTTGTTGGTCTTTGTCATTACTCATCATAGTTAGTAAATACTCCGTTTAATACACGTATATGTACCCGTACGTACTTTATCCGTTTAAAACTTCCGTATCCGTATTTTTGTCAAGCCGTTTCATTTTTGTCCGTTCATTTGGTGGCTCCCGTACTAAACACGTATAAAATCCGTATAACACGTTTTATATCCGTATTTAATGAATTAAATTGTTAACTTTACTATTATTTATATATTTATTTATTTTAAAAAATAATTTATTTTATATATTTATGACTATTAACGTACTATTAAATGTAACATTAGCTTATAAATGAAGTAAAATACCCGTACGTATTATATCCGTAACTTTCCCGTACCGTATTTTACTAACTATGTTACTCATTACTATCTGCTATTGGAGGGGGTGTTGGGCCCATGTTAGGGGTGGGCATTGCCTGTCACTAAAACCGAATCGAACCCATCTTCAACTTGAAACTGATCGAATCTAATTGCGAAGTTGTACGGGTCAGAATTCGGTAGCAAGATAGTCGTTACTCGGAGTTCGGATCGGAATAAACCAAATCGAGCGGCTGAATTTTGAACCGAAATTTATTTTGAGTCTTGTCAACCCCGAGCCGAGTGTTGAGCCTTGACCATACCACTTTTGCTACCTCACTGCCAAGCTCAACCCTACCAGCCCCACATGCCACTCTTTACCCATCATAACTTGTGAATTGAGACCGGACCCTCCCTTCTAATGACTAGATGCATTTGGGTTGGGTAATACCCATACCACCAAAAGGGAGTAATAGAAATCTCTTAAACTTAAACAATCACCAATTGTCATCCCAAGTAACTAAGTAATGATCGATAATTAAAGTGCTTAACATGATACTAAGTTACTAACTCCTATGAGATTAGGATTTAGGAAAGATAATATGCTCGTTCAAGTAGCTAAGTAAAGCCCAACGACTTTAGGACTCGTTTGCTTGTTGGATTTGAAAATGAGGATTTTGAGTTTTAAAAACCTTTGGATTTATGATGAATTTGTTGCATTATGGATTTGGCAGAGTACATTGTTTGTTTGATTAAATTTTATCATGGATTTATGATGGATTTGTCTCGCATTTTAGCCTTCCATTATCAAATCACAAATGAAATGTGTAATTTGCAAATTGGTGGATTCCACGGATTTGGATCTAAAGCAAACAATGGATTTGAGTCAAGTCTTGATACTTGGTATTTATGTGACAAATCTATCAGGCAAATCCCACAAGCAAACGATACCTAAAAGTCCTTGACATTAGCAAGGTGGCCTTTGAAATGAGCAAGTTTGGGCCTTGCAACATGCTTTCTGCCAGCCAGTAGTGACTGGGTCTGGGTGAATGATTGTCGGGCCCGAAGCCCATTTTCTTTCCATACCGAACCTCTTCTGATGGTGGGCCAAAGGCTCAGTAGCAACTTCATAAATATTTGTGAACCCAAAATTGTCACGGGGCGATATTCGAGTCATCTTATCGAATTGAAAAACTGGTCCGGCGGATAGTCTAATGGTTAATTTTTTTTTTTTTTTTTGGTAAGCAATGGTTAATTTTTTTTCTTTATAGGAAAGGTTTTAAATTTTTAAATGTTATTTAAGGGTTGATTTGGTTTTTTATCATTAAATTAATTGTATTATATGTGCTACATTATATATGCATGGATGAAAGGCGGCGACCTTCTTCTTCGTCTTCTTACTCCTCCGACTTGGGATCGACTCCGGCAGTAGAAGCAAAGCACCAGTGATGGTCAAATTGAGGTGGGCAGCTGCTGGTGAAAAGAATCCACACGACAGCCGCGTCGGGGTTGAGGTCGTCGGCGGCTGGGCAGGATAAGGAAATATTGTTTGTTTAGACTTTTTGTTAGAAATTGGGGACCAGAGGATAATATTGTCAATTTAGTGTATTCTAGAACGATAAAATTTAAATTTTAGAGCGACGAAAAGGGATTTAGAAAAGGGATTCATTTTTAACGAAAATGTCTTTTACAGCATCCTGGTTCATTGCAAAATGTACTTTTCAAAGGTTAAAAGTTAAAACTTGAAACAAGTAAACAATACTTGTATTGTGTGGGCATAATAAATTATATATTTTAAAAAATACAAGCATTGTGAAAACCTCACTAAACCATCCTTAAAAGAATTGCATTTTACCATAAAATAAAACGACATTGGGACACAAATTAAAGGTTCAAATTGATGGGTTTGGGCAATTACCCCTCAAATCAATCGTGGTCCGCATGATCTTAATCCTACTCAATTTGTGTCTGCCAAGCCAAATTTGTGGTCAGATCTAGTTATTTTTGTCTATTCAGCCAGTTCCAACCGAATTTAATAACACATTAGTGAAAACATATTCAAAACTTGATCATTACAACTCTTTTCTCTTATTCTTTTTTCGAGGACGATATCTCTTCGATCATCTGCTTTTTTAACCTTCAGAGTTCAGAGTTGTCTTTTTCTTGGATGCTTCTCTTCTAGCTTTCTCTTTTGAACAAAAAAGATGAAAGATGTCGAGAAGCTATAATAATCTTGATGCTTGCAAGTTGCAATGCTAGTCACTTCTACTCATAAAGGTTGATTGTCTATTTTTGGAAGACTGACTGCGAGCCAAGTTCATGAAGGTCGACCTAATGACCATAAGAGTTATATGAAGACAAGCCAACCAAGACTCATATGAAGATTTAGGGTCTAGTTAAATTCTCCATTTTGAGCTTTGACCTATTAAGAATTTCTTTTATATCTAAACCTCATTGGTTTCAAACTCATAACTAAATTAGATAAGGGTGTTCGATGACATTATTCTTTGGTATACGTAATAAATTGCGCATCTTGTTTATCTAGACCGAAGTTCAACCGATATAGATGAATCATGAGCTGCGTAAGATCGACGAAAGGTCTTCGATGACATCATCTTTTGGTATATGTACTATTTTGTGCATCTTATTTATCTTGACATAAATTCAACCGATAGAGACGAATCATGAGCCGGGCAAGATCTCATTTTTGTTGCTTCAGACTCAAGGTGACACTTAATTGGGAGGACCACTTGCTATACTTTTGACACACCAGAGGAGAGGGCGAAACAAAACTCTTTGAAAACAAGAATGAAATGCAATAATCCAAGCATTGGTCGACAAATAAGCTGAACAAAAGCAACATCATATTTTAGGATAGGAGGGCTTGGAACCATTGGAATTGCGGATGATGTACTATATACTATTTGCCCTTTTGCTAGTGGATCTTTTTTCCCCTATGTGCTTGATGTATTGTTCTATAAGCCTCTCATGGACACTTCTCTTTCATGAAAGTTGAGTTTCCTTAAAATGGACAGCCCAAAAGGCCAAAGGACCCGTTTTTTCAACAAATAATTGAGGGAACATGTACTGAAAATGAAACACAGATAGTTCCCCCCCTCTCCTTGCAACCGTAGTTAGTGCGTGCGTTGCCTCGTCTTTTCAAAACCCTAAAAGTTCTCACTTTTGATTAGGTGAAACTGATATCATAGTGTACGATAACATCTTCTGAGTTGCACCAACCTTGTGTGGTGGATTGTGTCACATTCTCCTGTGAAGTATCTTTGTTGTTAGAGGTTTTATGTTTAGATTATTTAAATTACATTTTCTACGTATTACCTTAATGAAGTATTTGTGTAAATTCATAAAGACGTGGTACACAACATGTGCAATACACGACGTGGTTGAGAAAGGAGCATATATGACAGTATGGTTGGTTCGTTTCAATTCAGCTTGAATTTAACAAACCATATGTCCACTCTTACTTAACATACTTGTATTACAGTAAGCCAAAGTATATTGATGTTTTTTTTTTTTGAACAATTCTATCACATCTCTTCAATCTCCTTTAACTTATCACCAATCATACTGCCATCTCTAGTAGTAATACCACTAGTCTTGAATCTGGAAGTCCCTAATTCAAATCTCTTTTAAATGGCACCTAATCATAAAAAATAAATTTATATATCACCCTTATATAAAAGAATACCGTCTCTATTTTTACTTATACTTCTCATTCAAATCTTTACCGTATTATGGAGTTAGTCCATTCTTTATGTATCCTAAGGAAGGTAAAATGACTAAAAAAACCCAACCTTATCGACTGACCAGGTTTGGTGACTTACCAAGATTCACTCAGATTGCATGTGCATGCTTAATGCTTTCCGGTAACTAGCTAGCAGAAGCCACGATCAACATTTTTACCACAGTACTACGTAGTATATAAAGACCCATCACCACCACATCTTCCCTCCACTTTCTTCATCCGCCCTTCACAAAGTGCTTCAGCATTTTGTTCATTGTAGGAAGTTGGCTATGGATTTTGCTAATGGAGGAGGAAGTAGTGGTACTGGAGATGGAAACCCTGCAGCAAGACTCGAGGTTTTGAAAACTTCAACCTTCATAAACTCTGTTTCCCTCTTTTACTTTAAGCAATAGACTGTCAAGAAAAGCAGCTTTTTTTTCCTATCTTATGATCGAAACAGAGGTGTCACTTTGCCAGAAGCAACAAAACAATCGTCAAAAGGGTTTTCTGGTGACCGTTTCATGACTTTTACATCCAACTTTAGAGAGTGTGAGGGGGGAGATTTTCCTCGTCAAGGAATAATTTATGAGTTAAACTGAAAAGTTGAGAAAGTGTTACGTTTGTCTTTTCTCTCTCTTTTCCGCAGGGGAAGGGGAAAGCGCTGTTGGTCTGCTGGATTCTGGGATTTGGGTCTCTGGTGTCGTGGAACACCATGCTGACAATTGGAGATTACTACTACAGTTTGTTCCCGGTAAAAGGATACGTTAAACACATGCAAGAATGGAAAAAAAAAAAAAAAGGTTAACAATCCATTAACATTCTGTCGAAAACTACAGAGCACTCTGCAACTAACATATTTTTGCGTTTGTGTGTTCAATGCCTGAAGAGATACCACCCTTCAAGAGTTCTGACCCTAGTTTACGAGCCCTTTGCCCTCGGAACCATGGCCGTCCTCGCTTACAACGAGTCGAGGATCGACACCAGGAAAAGGAACATCGGTGGATATTTGCTCTTCTTTGCCGGCACTCTCATGCTGCTCGTTGTAAGTGATATATATTCCTTTGATTGATTCATCTGCCAGACTGTTTTTGAAACATTCTAATTCTCTATGTAAGCCTTTGATTGTGGAAATAGCTCGACGTTGCGACTTCGGGGGAAGGAGGGATTGGGCCGTTTGTAGGGATTTGTGCAGTGGTTGCAGTGTTTGGAGTTGCCGATGCCCATGTTCAAGGTGGAATGGTGGGAGACTTGTCTTTCATGTGCGCTGAGTTCATGCAGGTGAGAGATACATAACATCGTCACATGTTTTACTGAAAGAAAAGAGGAAGAACATTCAATTAGAATTCAATCACAAATTGCAGTGCTACTTCGCTGGCGTGGGTGCATCGGGAGCCATGGCCTCCATCTTGAGGCTGATCACGAAAGCAGCTTTCGAAAACGCCAGGCATGGTCTTCGCAAGGGAGTTCGTGAGTCTGTTCTTCTTCTCTCTATTTTTATTTTTATTTTCTCCTGTCCTAATTGAGGTTCTAGCTAGGTAACTAGTGCACATTTCATCCTCATTTGTGTTCATTAATCACTCTGCAGAATTGTTCCTAGCAATAGCCGTTTTCATGGAGCTCCTCTGCTTTTTGCTGTACGCGTTCTACGTCCCAAAGCTTCCCATAGTCAAGTACTACCGCTCGAAGGCGGCCAAGGAAGGTTCCAAGACGGTGTCCGCCGACCTCAAGGCAGCCGGAATACTGACAAACCAGGTAAATGATTTGAATACGAAAGTTCATCAGACACTTGAGTAGTATCAACTAGCCATTTATTGTAGCTTACTCCGCTTACATTTGTGTGGCTAGGGAGATGATGGGAAACAGCAGGATCGATTGAGCAACAGAGAGTTGCTGATTCAGAACATGGACTACGGATTGGACCTATACTTGATCTATGTGCTAACGTTGTCAATCTTTCCTGGATTCATCTCGGAAGACACAGGCACCCATCAATTGGGTTCATGGTAAGTCGATTCGCTCTCATTTCCCCTGCCTTACTGGCCTGTCAAATCCGTGTCTCGTGCGGCAAAGTTTGAGCTCCTTTGATGGTTTCCTCTCTCTTTCTCTCCAGGTACATATTGGTCTTGATTGCAATGTACAATGTCTGGGATCTGGTAGGCCGATACGTTCCATTGATCGAATGCATCAAGCTGAAGTCGCGCAAGTGGCTGATGATCTCGACCCTCGCTCGATTCTTGCTCATTCCCGCGTTCTATTTCACGGCCAAGTATGGAGATCAAGGGTGGATGATATTTCTCACTTCCTTTCTGGGACTCACAAACGGCTACCTCACTGTGTGCGTCATGTTGTTGGCCCCAAAGGGTTATAAGGTTACCTTCTTTTTAAATTCAGTCATTCGATGAACTGGCTCTTGAGTATAGACTAAGACAATACATTCCAGTAAGGATTGCAATCGAACTTTGTGGAATGGTAGATTTGACGTTTTTCTCTTTGGGTTGCAGGGCCCAGAGCAGAATGCACTGGGGAATCTGCTCACGTTGTTCTTACTGGCCGGGATATTCTCCGGCGTAGTCCTGGACTGGATGTGGCTAATTGGCAAGAAGAACGTCTTTTGAAGAGCCAGGGTTTGCTATGTTGCTGCTTTCATTTGATCCACCGCATCCACTTGCGCAAGTAGGAGCTACGATAAAATGACTTTACAGGCTCGACAAACTATCGAGAGCAAATAACATTGTAGTGGCATATCTATCTCATCTCTTAATCAGTACCGTTAGGCGTTTACCTCAAAATGAAAGACAGAGTGAGTAGCCAACATCTGTGGATCCAAATCATCAACTATGTAACTCTACTAATAATAATCCTTTAACAGGCGAGACAGAAATATGATGGCCAATTTTATTCTGTTCATATAAATACGAGAGACTAGAAATTAATATCATACACTTGGACTAATACTTCCTCGCTATCGAATATGTACAAACTACAAATGATACAATTGCTCTCATCCCGCGGCATTCTCATTGTCATTCCTCCACTCACCCCCACCAAATGTTCAACATTCGTCGTCACTAACCTTCTGAGGACTGGTGCTGTTGTCTGGGGATTTGGTCGTAACAATAGCAGGAGGGTGAAGCTGCAAGTAAGCATGGTTCCCTTCTCTAAACCCGCCTACGCATATCGTATCACCCCGCCCATGCCAAGTTCCATCTTGTACATTGTTCATCTCTAGGGTTCTCGCCTCCTGTGGAAGCAATCACATTAGAATTTGGAAATCCAATCGAATCACAGAGTGATCATATCACATAACTGAGAAAAGGGCAAACCCTTCTCTACCTACCTGGCTCAAAGCGCAGCAAGGGCAGAAGATATGGTAGAAGCAATCGTCCAATGAACTATCACTACCCTGAAATAACAAAAGAAAGAAACTCAATCAGTTACCTTTCGTCTTTCGAATCATACGATAAAACCGAGTAGATGTCAGGTACAAATTCAAAGCAGCTAGCTCACCCTGATGTTAAACTTGTCTTTGATCTGAGACCGGAAGAAACCCAGATATATTCCCACTAGAACTGTGAACCCGATTGCTAGATAGAGGAAAGCATGCCTCTTTGTGACGAAGAATGCAATGAGATTGAGAAGCGCAAATAGAGCTAGAATGTAATACGCAGTTGCCTGCAAACAAAAGAGATCAACACCTTCATCTCAGAACTAAAACTTACAACTGATTCCGCAATTGAACTCGCCTATACGCATTAACATAGCTAAAGCACCAAACTCGGCCCTGATAAGTCACTATTAGCATTTCCCAGTTTCTCCAGTCTACCACATCAGTAACATAACCACGAAAGTTGATCGATGAAACGAGAATGCTAATATGCCCGTTTATTAGACCGAGTTTGAGTGCGCCAGTGTGATAAATGTTAATGGAGTTTCGTGATCAGATTGGTGATTTTAACACTTAAAAGGGAGTGATAGTTGTAGTACCTGAAGGAAACAAGAACCAAAACCAGCTCGCCTCATGTTCTTCCCAAATCTATAGCAAGGACAACTGCAAAATCATCGAACATTCCATCACGTATCAACCAAACAGTAACCAACAAAACCTAGCATAGTTTGAGTGCAGGAAGCAGTCAAACGGCGTTGAATTTGAATGATTATCGAAGAAAGGGCTAATCAAGGCCGTTTGACTGCTGAACTCATTTGGAAAAATTCAACGCCAGAAGAACACATTCGTCAGCCGATGATTCTTATGAAATACATACATCGTATTAACTGCAAAGTAAAACCTAATTTCACTTCAATCTTTGGATCAGTTTGGCTTAATATTTATCAGAAGGTGAGGAAATATATTCTCCGCCGGGAATTTTTCCGGGAGAATCTCACTGCGTGTGAATAGGAAGGAAAGAGAGAAACCCCGGTTTCTCCCGGCAGGAAACAAGGAATCAAAATGAAAGAAAATAAGCAAAAAAGGGGGGGAAAGATTTACCAGAACGATTCAACGGCAAGGCGGCGGTCATCGCAGAAATCGAGCACCCCACCTTCCCACATCCGGAACACGGAGGCGCCGCCGTCGTGGAATTCCTCGTCGGCGGCTTGGACCTTGGTCGTCCATTTCCCCTGCGTCTGCAGCGCGACGGTGGAGCAGAGCAGGTCGAAATCCACCACGGCGACGTCCTCGATCAGCTTCTGCTCCTCCTCATTCCGCCCCTCCGCCGCACCATCGTCGCGAGCTACCCGGTTCTCGAATTCCCCCATTCTAGACCCACCAAGAAAAAACTCAAACCCAGAAACTAAAACCTAGGGGTTTTGGGGGAAATCGAAAGAAAACACTTCCCGATACGAAAAAATCCCTTCTTTCCCCCCTTTCTTCTTCCTTGGCGAAACAGTTGAGTGGCGGGGGAGAGAAATGGGGAAATGGGGAATGAGAAGAGGATAGAATGAACTGGGGTTTTCCCCCTTTTTAAAAGGGGCCGATTTTAATAATGAGAATGATGGTGGGTAGGGGGAGAGCGGAGGAAGGCGGCGGCGGAGGCCGCTTTTTTAACGGGGAGCGAGGCGGAGAGATGATGACGATGATGATTCATCTCCCTCTGCTTCTCTCTCCAATTCATTTCTTTCTCCTTTTTGTTTTTCTTTTGGGTGGGAATTTGGTGGGAAGGCGTTGGCGGGCAGAGCAAATGGAGATGTTGTGGGACCCACTCGGAACGGCTCGTAATCGACGGTTTGAATTGCGACACGTCACCCTCAACTTCCTCTCTGATTTTCCTGGATTTCCATGGATTTGTTTTTAATTAATCCCAGATTAATAAAGCTGTTTTGTTTGGGAGTTAAATTGTTTAATTAATCCAGATTAGTGGTCTGCTGACTCGTTAGAATTGGGGTGAATTAGCCTAGGAAAGGACGGTGTTTAATTAACGGTATAAGAAGACAGAAAAGGTTTAGCTGGGAAATGACGAACAAGAGAGGAATCGTTGAACTACAAACTGGTAAAAGGCCACTTAATTTCGTGTACATTTCAAATGCTGATTAAAAAAAAACTACATTGCTAATTTTTGGTAGGATAGTTCATCGTCTCATTCTGTAATGAACTAATCATGTTATATCGTTGGAAGAGAAGTTAATTATGATTGTTGACGTTGCTAACGTTTGGTAGGATAGTTTATCGTCCCATTCTTTAATGAATTAGTTTTGTTATATCATCATCGTAAGTCACTGAAAGATAAATTTATTACTGTCGTCAACTATGAATATCTTGGTGGTGTATCAATGTAAACAACATTTTTTTTACGAGCAGCAATCATAGTTAGTGAGTGGTATTTTGGATAACATGAGCTTCTAATGGGGTTGTTACTCAAAACTATCGTTTGACCAAACATTCATCGATCATACGGTTTCGTTCATTTTTTTTTAGACGGTAACAACAAACAAATAGCACAATGTCTATCGAAATGTACTATGAATTTTACAATATGAGAGTGGGAAAACATAACTTAATTTATCTGTCCAATCAGTACATTTGACCGTGACATTTTAGAAACTGAGCTTAGTATGAAAGACGACAGTATTTAACTCATTCAAAGAACTTATCTCCCTGTTGTTTTCTCCTGTATTTTGCAAGAGTGAAACTCTGAGAGTAACTAGCCTTGACTCGTATTTTGCATCAAATTTAACGTCCGAAAGAAGAGCCACAATCCCGGTTGCTTCTTTATCAAATAATGAACAAGGAATCATAGCTAGCTCGTAATCAAACTATACCTGACAAAGACAGGCAATCAACAGCTTGCTTCCTCACTTGGCCGTTCCTTACATATATAATAATCAAAGCGAAGAAGAAAGGAAAGATAACAGATATCAAATCCCAATCATAATGGGGATGACCAACCAAACTCTTTGGTTTTTCATTATCCGGACGCCTCCTAATTCTCCAATAATATTAGTCTAATTGCATCATTTCCATTCGGTTCATATAAAAATACAGCATAGTTGTCAATGGAGCACATGCTCAGATGATGAACTGGTGGTGCAAATTATCAGTGGTGGGTAGAGGGCCCCTATTAATGGCATCCTGATTTCTGGATATAATAACAAAAATGGTTTGGGGATAAGAAAGGAGAAAAGGGTCCACTTTTCCTCTCCTTATCCGAAATTCCCAACCCACTACATCACATGTACAGTCAATGCCAACCCAGAAAGGCCAATCTATTACTGTAATCAGACTGTTAGGTTCTGATGCCATTCAAGCTAGGAATGAAAGCCTTGTTGTTGTTGATGTAAATGGTGGATTCAGGTTCGACCACAAATCCAACATTTTGACCAATAGGGATGAATGAATTCCAGTTTGGTTGTCTTACCAGCTAGCCGAAAGGGTCATCCATCTTTCTTCGGTAGCTCAACTGACGAATGACTCGGTTCTGAGATAGATGAACCTTCATGGAGTCTTACACTCTTACTTCCTACACAAAAAGAAACAAGACGATTTAGGGCTTGATATAGAGAGAAGAAAGGGCAGCTGTAACCTGTACATGAATCAAAATCCAGAGAGGAAGAAATGAAATCGAAAACTTCGAGTAAATTGACCATAACTGGTTTCCTAAAACATCAATCTCCAAATATCAGGAAGGATGAGTTTCTTTGTAAACAAGGCAGCTGTCTAAACAGATTAGGCAGAGTGACCATTCAGACAGGGCCCCTCAAGTTTCCTGTAACATAACCATCACCATGTAAAGAATTCAACACACAGAACAATGAAGAACTCAGGTGGATATTCTTGGATTCGATCTAACGAAATAGATTACATTGTCGAATGGAAAAATACAAGACAAGAGTAGTTCGACATAGATCAAACTTTCGAAGAAGGCCTCACAAGTCCCAAACCCGAACCACTACCCAAGTGCTTGAAATCCGTAGCAACAAGACCCTCATCGTGACCTGCAAACCCAGTCCCGCCCTTCTCCAACTGCACCAAATCCCTCCCTTTGCACCCCTTGCTGCACTCCAAGCAAACCTTGTCCACCGCCAAGAACTTATCGGCACACTTCTTGCAGAACACATGGCCGCATGAGCTCACAGCAACAAGCGTTAGCGTGTTGGTCAGGGTGACCTTACAACTCGGACAGAGATAGATCTTATCGAGAGAGCCCCTGTCACCCTCACTCGTGTCTTCGGTTAGATAGATGGGGAAGAGGCTCTTCATTTTAAGCTTCTCGTTCCCCTCGGGGCATGTTGTGTGGGAGGACGGAGCTTCCACTTTAACGGTGGCTTCTGGAGTTGCTGAGGGAAGCCAGAAGGCTTTCATCGTACGAAGGGCTTCCTCTTCAAAGGAGGTTGTCTTCACGCTGTTAGCACCGTGGAAACCGTTCTTGTCTTGGTTACGGTTTCGGCTGTCGTTGCTGTACTGTGGGACTGCACCGTGGTTCTGCTGGTCGAACGCGTCAAGTTCTCGAGCTCTCTGTGCTGCTAACTTATCTTGTTCCTCTTCCTTGTCCTGCTTTTTCTGTAACTCATGGGCGGCTTGCTTCCTGCGAGGTAAGCATACATCATCTAACTAGGCACAGTATAGGGGAGCACCAAATATATGAATAGTTACATGATGCTCAAATTACATTCACATTGAAGATCATGTAGCCCGTTTTAAGACAACATAAACACATGTCATAAGTGAACAAACCATATGCATGACCAATAATACAATCATGAAGCTCCTCATAGAATTCGCTAATAGTTAATGCACGTACATTGAAGATCACTTTGCAAGACAAACAGTCAGAATTCGTCCAAAATGCTAACAGTTCAACCCTACTAGCACAGCCAGTAAAGCAAGCAAGCAAGAACCGCAGGCCTGATACGAACCTATCTCAATCCTAAATCTTCGAGAACAATCCAAAAACTAGCTTAAAATTCTAAAATCCTTCAATTTCAGAGACAAAAGAAACAAAAATATCCACAAAGCTCAGAACACAGCCATTGGCTATCCAGCAAATGGGATAGGCAAAACTGAGAGACACGAGCAACTATGATTATAACAGAATTCACACATCATCAAGACACTCTAATCACATTGAAGATCACCTCGCAACCAAAACTGTCCAAAGACACCCAGCTACCGCAAAAATGTTACCCACGACACAGGAACACATGTATGAGATCCACTTCCTATAGCTATGCAATTCAACACCACTAGGTAGATTCACAGACGAACACAAGACAATTCCCTAGTTTTCAATTGAGGGAAATCCATACCTAGATCAAAACACCCAATTATTCGTCAATTTCAGACACCAAAGAAGCATCCTTGACTAAAATCCGACTAATTCAACTTCAACCAAACATTCATAGCCAACTCACTAGTTCTAAAGCTCGAGTGAATCAGCTTATACAGAAAGAGATAAAAGGGGGGGAAATGGAGGGAAATTTGTTTTGTACCGAATGATGTCTTTCTTCTGGGCGAGGAGGCACTCGAGGATGCATTCTTTACAAAAGACGTGACCTTTGGGACAAGACATGGGACTGATGAAGGGCTTCAAGCAGAGGCTGCAGGCGTCGAAGGGCTTGATCGAGTCCTTGCCCAGCCGCTCCCTCTGCGTCCCGTACCCGAGCTTCCTCTTCTCATCGTAAGTGAAGAACGCTAGATCGTTGTTGTTCTTCGAGTGTCTCTGCGGCATGGTTAATCGACTTTCAGGAGTATGTATCAGACGCCGGCGATCTAGATTAGGTGATGGAATCGGAGTGTCTTAACTCTCAATAGCCCTAGAAATTTTCCGATACCGATTTGGAGTAGAGAAGTTCCGAGATCGGATTCGACGGTGACTTTTTGTGCGATTCCGGTTTTTGGAAAGTCGGCTATTCGGAGGACTTGAGCCGTTGGATTTGAGAAGGCGACACATAATACGGTGTCCTATCATATTCTGTTTGGGCCAGTTTTCGCGTTCGATTTGGTACCACGGGCCCATCCATTTGGGCCTAGTCGCCCGCAGATGAGATCAATATTCTAGGCCCGTTAATTAGATTCCATGGAACCTAAACAATGCCACTACCACCAAGTACCAACAAAGGGTAGAGCTTTATCATTGTTAATGTCTTGATTCGTTCACGCTAGACTAGATCCATCAAATAAAAAATGTCGTTATTAATGTCTTAATTCGTCTAAACTAGACTAGTTCCATCTAATAACAAATAGTAAAGTATTTTATCACCAAATATTTTTATAAGAGTAATATATATTTACTATTAGTGGGTAGGTGCTACTTAAGAAATTCGAACCTAACACCTTTAAGTTCAAGACTGGTGGTACTGTCACTAGACCAAGATCTTATTCCCATTTTATCACTATGTAGAGTTGGGAAGGACTTTTTAATTGCGATATTTTTTTTATAAATTTGTACCATTAGAGATGAAATCGTAATTATGTTATTAGTTAGAACTAGGGGTGTCAGTTCGGGTCGGGTTCGGTTACCCAAACCGAAACCCGAAAAAAACCGAAAACTCGTAACCGAAAATCACTAAAACCGAACCCGAACCCGATAAGGACTTGCGGGTTCCGGTTATCCGAAACCCGAAAATTCCTTATCCGGTTTGGGTTCGGTTAAAGCAAAACCGAAACCCGAACGCCTAAAAATACAGGCTGAGTTCTATTCATTGGAGGTTTCTAGCCGGAACCCGAAAAACCGATAAGCAAAACCGAACCCGAAACCGAAAAAAAACCCGAAACCCGAAATGAACCCGAACCTGCAAAATCGAAAATGTATATAATCGAGTCGGTTTCGGTAAACCCGAAAAACCGAACCCGAATGGACACCCCTAGTTAGAACCAATTGGTTCTTGACCAAAAAAAATAAGAGTAAAAAAGTACAATCACACTTGACGGGAAGGAAAAAATCAAGCGATCTAACTCGTGAAGTTCACGTGGGCGGTGTCGGGGGGGCAGCCGGAAAATTTTCCACCTGATGACAGTCGTCGTCCTAAAAAAATAATGCAGAGAGAGCATCGTCGTCATTCACACCCTGCAAACATGAATCTGATCAGAAATGAGGTTCCGATTAAACCAAAGGTTGGTTATTAATTCTTACTCCTTCATCTTATATTATCTTCTTCACATCAGAGAGGGAATTCCGATTCCCTAGAGACAAACAAACACACAATGGGAGAAGAAGAAGAAAAAAATCAAAGAGACCCACGGCCACGAGGAGAGGTGATGGGCAGCACACTCTGCGTACGTGATGCGTGGGGTTATCTGCGCGTGCCACTTGGACAACCTGAATCAATCAATATCAAAATCAAACTGAGATTTGATTGATTGATTGATTGAACGTAACATCTCTACAATAGTGTGATGTTAGTCGATCATCCGGCTCATATGTTAGTTCCGAATTCATAATTGGATTCAGACATTCGATATTGAATTATGTATATGCGTCGATTGTTAGCGGCAGTTCCAAAGTTCGAAATTAGTTTGTGTTGAATTTATTTATTATTATTTTACAGTTAGGTCGATTCTTTAGAAGTAAGACAGTGGTGTTTTGCGATATTTTTTTGATAAAGAAAGCTGATGAAGTATGAAAAGGGCTGGACTATCAAGAAACTAATCGATCCCAATAATTCGAGTTGTTGGGAGATGTTCAATAACATCTGAATTTTATACAATATACTAACTGGCTAACTGCACAAATCAATATCGCGAGCAAACTCCGGAATGATATTCTTGTGTGTCATGTATTTGACCAATTTTAGTAGGTCTTTCTAACTAATTGGAAGTTTGGAACCATGTCAAATGAAACCATGTCAAATGAAACCCACTACATATCATCTATGTGCTCAACATAAAATTCATAACCACAACATACTTAGTGATCATAGACATCTAAATTTACCATCCAAAACCTTATACACGAGCACAAGAAGAAGGAAGTATGATCCAAACCCAAAATTAGGGTGACGGATAATCTTTATTCATCCCTACCACAACCATTTTCATCCTACATTTTTGAGCACCTAATCGACATTCAAAGATTGCTCAACTTAGTTCCCACCTCCCAATCACCTAAGAACCCCAAAAGCTTCGAACTTTCGAGCAGCCCACCAAACCCGACGCCGTCGTGTTCTCCGGTGGCGCCGTCGTCGACCACGGAACCACTTGATTCTCTCCATCATCTCCATCCCCGCCGCCGCCATCATCCTCGTCGTCGTCGTCATCGTCACCATCTTCATTCTCGTCTTCATCGGAATCCCCTGAACCTCCGTCGTCTGAATCGCCGTCTCGGTCTCTGCCCTCGGCGCCGTTTCTGCTGGAAGTTGAATCATTAGTGGCGGCGCAGCCTTCGCAGAGAGAGATCGTCGGAGCGAGCCGGGATCCGGACCCGGTCCAGGGAGTCGGGCTCTGGCACTCGTGGCAGAGGAGGGTTCGGGTGTGCTTGGCGACGAGGAAATTGGCGCCGTGGACTTTGCCGTCGCAGTCCCAGCAGAGGCTCGCTTGATCGGATTCGCAGTACATTCTCGCCGGAGAATCGCAGAGCTCGCACTTCTTCATGTTTTTTTCTCCCCCCGCTGTGATTTACTGTTTGAGATTCGCCTGCTCTGTTTTTTTTTAAAGGGGAAAAGGGAAAGAGTATAATAGAGCAGAGTATTTGCGACCGGCTAGTCATAGGAAGGGGAAAAGATTAATATAAACAAAAATAAATAGTTAAATGACAAATGGGAACTGTTTTTTTTTTTTTTTTTTATCTGAGTGATATCAATGGAGGAAAATAGTTAAACTTACAATTCTACCCAGGATCTCTAAAAGACTCTAAAGAAGCCACCCAAAAAATCAAAAGATTCTACCTCTAAACGAGACAAAAGCAGTGCTTTACGCGCCACTCAATGGGCAGCACTGATGGCGGATCTAGGAACCGCCCTAAACTCTATACAAACAGACAAAGAGCTAAGGATCTGAAGACACTCTCGTAACACCGGACCACCAATCGAGTCTTCTATGACGCCTTGACGAACTTGTTAGACGACCACTTCGGAATCACCTTCGACTATCATGCGGGTCAAGGAACTTGAGGCTACGATGGAGATAGCATCTCTGAAGGCTAGAAGCTCTGCCAGATAAGGATTGACTATTCCTTGATGCTACAGCCCGAACGCCAACACCACATGCCCGTCTGACCCACGGATAACAAGCCCAGACGAACACCCGATGGCACAACCAGCAGCGTCAAAGTTGATCTTCAAAAAGACTTCTGGCGGAGGGACCCAGGTGGCATGATGGTTTGGGAGTAGAGAACTGCGGGGTGGAAGAGGAAGGAGAAGATAGGAGACTTCGAGGACCTGGTTGTAGAACTGGTTGGTTAGGGAACGGACATGAGGTTGGTAAATTCGAAGGTCACTTTATTTCTAGACTTCCAGATTCTCCAAAGTAAACAGAGACATTGGAGAATGTGGAATGGGGCGGTCTCAGAGACCATGACATGTCGCCACCATAGACTAAAGTTAACAGTCTGGGCGGTCTCAATAAAGTTGCTCAATCCCACTAAAGTCCACAATCTAATGGCTAGGGGGCATCTGAAGAATAAATGTTCAATGCTTTCTCGATGTCTTGAGAAAGCAATTTACTTCAGGAAATTGAAGAGTCACCATAGTTTGCAATGTCGTTTAACATAATACAACTGCAATTTAAAATAATACAAACCATTCTTAGTGGAAACCCATATTTTTCTTCTTCTGATTACCATCTTTTTAGAGGCAGAGTTAGCTTCTAATACGATTAGTTTTTGCTTGGGGTCTTTTAGAGGCAGATAATGAGATTGTCGAGTAAGTGTGAATGAGGAGAAAATTCGAATTACATAAATATTACAATTTACAAACATAAACCAACTAATAATTAGCCACAAAATTATTACTGTAAGTAGAGAAAAATACTTGCAAGTCATGCTTCTAAATAAGTCTAATTGCTAAACAATAGTCGTGATGCCTACATCTCAACAAATTTTAAGACTAAAGTTGAACTTAATGTCATTGATTTGTCTGATCTAGTCCTACAATGTCTATTGTAATTTTTAAAAATTTAAAAGAATTACTTCAAATCTAACGATCTATACAGTGTCTAATATGATTTAGATTGCTTAAACATTTTTTATAAGATAAATAAGTGAAAAAATGGAAAAGTACATTGTTTATAGAGCTAGTTTCTTATAGGATTTAGATTTGCTTCAACACTTGTAGTACAGTAAGTCAATGAAAAAATAAGAAATAAGTTTTTAGATAATCGTTTCGTACAGTTAAAAGTTAATTTACGATACAATTTAATTTTGCTTCAACGCTTCTAATATGATTAGCATATTGTTGATTATGAGTGATGGAGTAAGAACCCTTTTAAGTTGACAAAAAATTCTTCTAACTGTGACAAGATCAAGCGACCCACACATCATAAAACGATACATAATCCATTTGGACAACAATGATCTTGAAATCCAGAACATCATAATCAAGTTTGAGACCATAAGTGTATCTACAAACTCTAAGATCTTAGAAATTCGAGGGACACTTTCTGATGTCAATTCATTACCCAGGAAAAAAGGCTACAGTTTGTAAGAGCAGCCCATGCCCTCGGATGCATCCCATATAGCTTCAAAAACGTCCATATTTATCATCTTCTGGTCCTTAAAGTTGAAGCATTTTGCAATGCTTATATCTAGGGCTGGAAGTTTGGTACCGGTATTTGGGATATACCAAATACCGTACCGAATTTGTCTATATTTGGTATTACCGAATATACGTATTATTTTGTGGGATTGGGATTGGGATTGAATTTCAATTGTTATTCGGTATTAGGGATTACGGGATTGGGATCGGTATATACCGAAATACCGATCAATACCGAAATATAAGTTAGTGTGTATTTTATCCTCTCAACTAGACTCTCACATTCACTACTAAGCGACCATCAACCACCAAAAGTGTCATTTAATTATACATAGATCATTATATCACTATTTCACACTATTATTAGTCGTCTCTCAACCTCAAATTCGTCAAATTAAAGATTACCAATTACAAGAACTTAAGATGTTAGCTCTAGGCAACTCAAGACTATTTGCTTAGTTTCTTCGCCCTAAATTAAACAATAAAATTTAATTTATATATTTAATTATTAATTGCAAAGGTAAGTAATTATGTATTCGATAATACCGATTGGGATACCGAGGTACCGATTGGGATACCGAAATTATTTAGGGATTGGGATTGGGATACCGAAATTATTTAGGGATTGGGATTGGGATTGGGATTGATTTTAGGGTGTAATTCGATATTCGGGATTTCGGTATTTGGTATTGGGATACCGATACCGTACCGATTTCCACCCCTTATATCCCTCTTTAACATTCCGACCTAATTCAATCACTGAGGTGGTTGACACTAAACGGTGGGGATGGTGGACAAGAAGCAGAGCAAAAGGGAGTGTCTTCTCAAATGGTGGGCGATTAGCTTTAGCTATTGTTTGAAGGCCGCCATTGCACCTAACAATGCCCATACCGCCACCTTTTTATTATGCGATTACATTAACCATATCCGCCCAACGTCTTCTTATGTGATGTCGCATTCCTTTCGACAATAAGTCATGTCAGAATTTGAAAATAAAATACTCCAACATCAAAACGATGTCATTTTGATAGAAAATTAGCAAGAATAAAAAAATCAGGCAGAGCCCTCCTCTCCAATAGAATTTTAATCGACACTTACTCCATTCTTTTCTCTCCTCATCTAAAGCGACACTCAACCCTCTCCGGTAAACAGAGACTGAGCCCTCTCTTTGAGGGTTGAGATAAAAGTTAACGGTTGCACTTTGCAATTGGGTTTAGTTATAGACTAAATTTGGTGAAATTTTTAAATACCAAAGGAAAATATATTTAAACTATACCAAAGCGGACCGAATACAATGTCAGTCTTGTACCATTTCAACTGGTTAACTCCTATTAAGGTTGATACTTTCGTTCTTGTGTACTGGACCAATGGTATCTGTACTTAATCATCATTCTATCCATATATATAGATCATAGCCGGAAAACAAATGAAAGAAGCAAAAACATTGCGATGGCTAAGGAATCATAGGAAGTTCACGACTTTCACCAACAAAAAGGAAACATAATTGTTGGGCATGTGACTCGGACCTCCCCGTGCCAAGGAAACACGCCGCCATTACCCTCGATGCTGTCAGACACGTCAGAGCGCGACACGACCGACGTCGCTCCAGCGCGAAGACCCCGCGCGCGGCGAAGGCGAAGGCGAAAGCTATGCAGGCAAGTGAAGAGATCAAGCGTAGACCAAACCAAAGAGCCGCAGAAAGCGTCATTTGTGCTTCCCGAGGGAGAGTCACATCAGGGCCCTAGATACAATCAGAGGTAAACCCCTGACATGTCCTAGGTAGAGGTGTGGCCTAAATCCCTGACATGTCAGTGGTCATGTCACCGTACCATCATGTAATCCATCCACTCACCCACCACCATGTAGCCTATAAATATGGCATTTACTCCGGTGGGTGAGGGGATGACATTTTGGGCATTCTATCTCTACAAACATAAACTTCTCTCTCTAAAACACCAATTCTCTCAACCTCAATTCTCTCAGACCTTTGTTCTACGTCACATAGTTGATTTCCCCTTGCTTATTCTCCTGACCCACTTCCTTCCCCGAACCTCACTCCTACACTCAGTTAGGTTCAAACAATAATAAAGTTCATCATACAAGTTCCGATCAACAATGTAAAAAGCAAAAAACCGAGCAGAACGATAAATTGATAACTAAGAGAGAGAGAGAGAGAGAGAGAATAGAGTAATTGACATCTCATGCCGATGGCTGCAGGCTGGGTTCGAGCAAGTACTACTTGGGTGGTGAGATCCATACAGGCGGCGGACTGCTACGAATCGAAGCACTGGAACAGAGCGGCTGAACAATGCAAGTGGTCATATTGTAAATCTCCATGTCGTGACCTACATAACGCTTCTCGTTCCACCATGGATGGTACTCAACTACATCATCAGTGAAGTAGATGGAATCGGCTGTTAATCCCGGATGCTCTTTTGTAGAGACGAAAGTAGCGGAATTAAAACCGACGAATAGAGCAAACTCGCCGATACTTTCCACCTCACCCCATCCTCTTTTGTCGTCTTTGATAATCGCGTCGTCGATTCTCAGCTTGTACACACTGAATTTGCTGGTCCAGTAAGTTATGCTGCTAGTCATAGCAGGATCAGGATCGTCAGCAGGAGCAACAAACACCTCCTCCTCCTGGTGCTCATCCTTGTATTCTGCAATATGACCCTGATGGCCGCAATACAGAGCCAAACGTTCTGGCGATATGAATACATCTCTAGTAACCATCGTCAATTCATCGCTGACTGGACTTATCACCAAGTAGCCATCGTCAGCGATATCGTTATGAAAATCGGTGTCAAGCATTGAGAGCTTAGGTTCATCCGGCACCGAAAGATCACACACGAAAACATTCCCATTGTGGTCAAGGGCGTAGAATTGACCCTTCCAGAA